TTGGTTAAAATTTAATAGTTGAAGGATCATGGGTGGTTAACTTGGACCAGGAATGGTTAAATTTGAAAGTCGAAGGACCACCGATGGTTAATTTGAAAATTTAAGACTAAACGTGGCAAAACCACTATACTCGGAGGACCTTAGATGGTATTAACTCTATAACCAATTGATGAATTTGAATGTAAAAAATTTTTACATTGGAGAAAAATAAAGACAATATAACTAATAAAATTATTTCTCTTAATTAATTTATTGATAATGAATAATTTTTTTTTTTAATAAAGACATTGTAGGGACAATGTAGCGAAAATAATCAATTGATGAATTTGAATGTAAAGAATTTTTATATTGAAAAAAAATAAAGACAATATAACTAATGAAATTATTTCTCTTATTTAATTTATTGATAATGGATAAATTTTTTTGAATAAAGTCATTGTAGACACATAATTCTAAATTAAAGAAATGCATATGTATTATTTTTTGTTGTGGCTACTAAATTATTATTTAATTTAATAAGAGTAAAATAGAGTACTAATTATGCCAACTTTGATTGGGATGTGGTTCGAACCTAAGACATTTTTTTATTGAAATCAATGAGTAAGGTAACGGCCAGTGAACTAACATAAATTAACAGAAAAGATAATATTTAACAGAAAAGTTAACGAATAATCATATTCATTAAGGATAAATTAGGAAATCTTAAGGAAAAATTAAAATATGATCAATCTTAGCCATTCATTTGATTAAAAAATTTGATCCTCATTTTTTCTACCCATTATAGTCCTAACTCTCTTTACATCATCTACTAAATAGCCAAAAACAGAAATAAAAGAAACTGAGTTTAAAGCATCAAAAACAATCTTACAATCAGTTTCCACATCTACAGCACCCAAACCAGTGCCCTTCAGCCAAGTCAACGCCTCCCGTATAAAAAACACCTCTGCCTCCCTAACAGTATACAACCCGGGTACTCTGACGTTTTTAGCAGCAAGGAAATTACCACCATCATCCCGCAAGACCCATTCGAACCCCATTGCATTATCCACCTCCCTTAACGCAGCATCAGTATTGAGTTTGAGCCTCCCAAGCACAGGTCTTGCCCAAGAGGTCACCGCATGTGTGTGTTTGTGGCCAACACCAACCTGCAGCTTTTCATTAGCATCTCTCCAACAATCCAGAAACGCCAAAGACCTACGCACCATAGTAGATAAGTCAAAGACAGCATCCCTCCATACACTCTCGTTTTTACCGCACCACACACCCCAACATGCCATCACAAACTTAGGCTTAGCAATCAAATCTAAAGTGCCCAAAGCCCAAAAGAACCAGTCACCAAGATGATTACCATCATAGCTGCACACATGTGGCATCCCCAACATGTTCCAAAGGAGAACCGCCTCCCCGCACTGAACAAAAATATGCATGGCCGACTCCTGTACCTGCCCACACATATGACAATCCACCAGGCAAGCAACATTCTTAGATAACAAAATATCACGTGTGGGAAGGTAGAGGGACACTAACTGCCAACAAAAGCTCTTCACCTTAGGAGGGACCTGCAAGTTCCAAATACTTGCCCATGGGCGGTGACTCGCATCCACTCTCGTAAGCTGCTTATAACATGATTTGACCGAGTACACACCCTTCTGCTCCCAATGCCAAAATCACTGATCATGAGGTCTCCGGTTACTGACAGGAATATTCAAAATTAAATTAGTATCGCGGGTATTGAAAATATCCTTCACACAATCCACATCCCAACCCTTACCATGCTGATCCATCAGGGAAACCACCGGTGCCTCATAAACTGTGTGATGCAACTCCGTTTCCACAAACGGATTCCCATCCTCAGGAAGCCAAGGATCCCTACCAATTATAGTCCCTTTGCCATCGCCAATGACCCTTCTACAGCCCTCCTTCAAATAGCCTTTAACCTCCAGCATACCCCGCCAAATATAGGATGGGTTACTACCCTCCCTGGCATCAAAATAGTCACAATCAGGATAATACCTTGCTTTAAACACACGGGCCACTAGACTTGTGGGATTGGAAATTAATCTCCACGCCTGCTTTCCTAGTAATCCTTTATTCATCTCATGTAGACGTCAAAAGCCCATTCCACCACATGCTTTCGGCTTTGACAAGCCCTCCCATGATCGCCATCTGATCCCACGATTACTACCCACATTGCCAGTCCACCAGTATTGATTCATAATTGCCTCCACTTCCCGCCACAGGCTTAAGGGGAGCAAAAACACCATCATAGCATAAGCTGGCATTGCCTGCAGAACATTCTTCAAAAGCACCTCTCTCCCAGCTCTAGACAAAAACTTGGCATTCCAAGAACGGACCCTGGTGAGTATACGGTCCTTCAGGAAACCCAGTATAACCTTCTTCCTCCTCCCCACTAGGGATGGCAAACCCAAGTATTTCCCACTCGTATCACCCTCCTCCACTCCCAGTATATCGACAACCTCATTTCTTCTATTCTGTGGGACATTAGCACTAAAACATGCAGCAGATTTATCATAATTTATATACTGTCTAGAAGCCCTGGCATAGGTATCAAGAATATACCTCATTTGAATGCTTTCGTCCTCATTAGCCCGTAAAAAGAGGAAGGAGACATCTGCAAAAAGGAGATGAGAGATGGAAGGCGCCCCTCTGGCAACTGAAACCCCATGCAAACGGCCCGCAGACATGCTTCTCTCAATCATAGCACTCAACCCCTCAGCCACAAAAAGGAACAAATACGGGGAAAGCGGGTCCCCCTATCGGAGGCCTCTTCCTGGTATAACTGGCCCCAAATGACGCTGATCATGCAAAATATGATACCGTACTGAGGTTACAGATTCTAGTAAAATATCAACCCATCTACCACCAAACCCCATCTTAAGCAACACCGCCCGTAGAAACTCCCACTCCACCCGATCATAGGCCTTCGATATGTCGAGCTTCAACACAACGACCCCCTCGCGTCCCTGGGACTTGCGTTTCAAAAAGTGGTGAACCTCATAGGCAAGCATGATATTGTCAGTTATTAAACGCCCCGGGACAAAGGCACTTTGAGCACATGAAATTAACTTATGCAACATGGGCTTTAGTCGGTTTGCACATACCTTTGCCGCCACCTTATAAATGACGTTACACAAAGCAATCGGGCGTAAATCTTTTATTGTATCCGGCCTGGCCTTCTTCGGGATCAGAACAACAAGGGTATCATTAGCTCCACGTGGGATCTTGGCCGTTTCCAAGAAACTTCTACAAAAAGTGGTTACCGCCCCCCCTACAATGTCCCAGAAATACTAGAAAAATCCCGGTCCAAAACCATCAGGACCCAGGGACTTATCCGGGTGCATCTGAAACACCGCAACACGAACCTCCTCCATACTCAACGGGCGCAACAGCATAGCATTATCAACCTCAGTCACCTTCGCAGGAATTGCATCAATCACCTCCTGTATCTCTCCATAATCCAGGGTAAACAGTCTAGTATAATAATTCAACATGACATTATCCAACCCCTGTGAATCCTCCACCCAAATCCCATTCTAATCCTGGAGACGTCTAATAGTATTGCGTCGGCGTCTTGCTTTCACAGAATTGTGAAAAAACTTGCTATTGACATCCCCACCTTGATACCAAAACTCCTTAGCACGCTGTTTCCAGAAATAATGTTGTTGCTCCAACAAAAAAAGCAACTCCCTCTCCACCGCCTCATATTCCCTCAACCCAGGCTCATCACGACGCCCCCTCAACCATTCTAAGCGTTGCTTATTGAACTCAATCTTACGCTGGAAATCTCTATTATAATTCCGCCCCCACCTCTTCAAGTCAAGTGCACATGCCTCCACCCTTGCTAACGTATCCAGGCCAACCGTTCTGTCCCAACTTTGCGCTACAATTTCTCTACATGAATCTTCCCGCAACCACAAATTATCAAAATAGAACCTGGCACGCTTGCGGACCCGTGGGAGAATAACCGGTGTAAGAATCAGGGGTAAATGATCGCTATAGGGGACAACCAGAGACTGTGCCCGTGCACCCTGAAACAAACTCAACCACTCCTCATTAGCTAAAATACGGTCCAACTTCTCCTCAATCATATCGCTCGTGCCCCGTGACTTAACCCAAGTATACTGTGGCCCATCAAATGGTAAATCCTGCAAATCACAGTACGCAATAGCCTCCCTAAAACCATTTATACACCACGGTGGATGTGGGGCCCGTCCAAACTTCTCAGACTGATCAAGGAGGTCATTAAAATCCCCCATCACTAACCACGGTAGAGTTGACCGAGATGACAAGGTACGCAACAACCGCCATGCCTCCCGCCTACGGTGCCTCTCTGGGAACCCATAAAAACCAGTAAAACACCATGAGGGAGCACCAACATCCAAACGTAGCTCACAATCAACATGATTAGCAGAGAAACCCGAAACTGTCAAGTCCACACTGTTCATCCACAACATCGCTAAACCCCCACTCCGTCCATCCGCCTCCACAGTAAAGACACTATCAAACCTCAATTGTACTCTAACATCTTCCATACGCTGCTTACTAACAAATGTCTCAATCAAAAACACCACACTCGGCCTCTTAGTGCGAACAAGGTCCGCTAGCACACGAACTGCCGTCTGGTTGCCAAGCCCCCGGCAATTCCAAGAAATTAGACTCATAATTCTCGGCGGGCTTGCTCCGCAAGACCCGCCCCCAATCTGTTTTTTGACATAGCCACATCACAATCCATCTCCCCTCCACCCACACTCACCTCCACACCATCCTCCTCCACCCTCCTTCTTTTTTGTTCCCCCACAACAACTCTCGGCACATCACCAACATCCCTTTCCACCCCATCCACCCTCTCACAACCCAAACCCAAAATTCCCCCACTGCCCACCCCCTCAACGCTTACACTGCCATGCCCCACAACACCCCCACCGCCCATCCCCACAACACCCTCCCCAAAATTCCCCCACTGCCCACCCCCTCAACGCTTACACTGCCATGCCCCACAACACCCTCACTGCCTCGTCCCACATCACCCCCACTGCCCTTTTCCGTAACCACCCCACTGCCCAAAACCCCCCAACAACACCACTGTAACCAGCCTCACCCCCCATAGCCGACGATTTCCAAGATTTCCGCTCAGCAGCAGTTTCAGGTGGTATCCATCCCATATTCACCAACGGCGGTTCCCGGCGAGATGTCGCCCGCAACCAAGCACCATAAGGCTTCTTAGCTTTTGGATCATGACGTTCCAATGCAAGCCTACAATGCCTGTCCCCATGCCCAATCAACCCGCACAAAAAACAAAAGGTAGGTAATCGTTCATACCTAAAATCAATAATAGCCCAACTCCCGACACCCTGTTTTAACTTCATCTGCTTCTTGAGTGCCTTGGTGATGTCCAGCGACACCCGAATACGGTAATACGTTCTCAAGGACCCATCAAAATTCCTTTCATCAGCCTGTACCACCCTCCCCAAAAACGAGCCAATTGCATTAACGACCGACTCCGAACGGAACCCTATCGGCAAAGCATGTATTTGAACCCAGAATTCCGCATGATCCAATTGGACAATTTCCGGATCCTCCCCCAACTCCAGCCTCTTCATCACCAACAAACTCTGTTCATATGCCCACGGACCCTCACTCAGTATACGCAGAAGATCAGCTTTGTGATAAAAACGAAAAAGAAACCTTCGGGGTTGAAGCTCACGCATGTTCACACCCATGGCTGCCTGCCACACACCTGCCATGGTGTCTTGAAAGTAAGCAAAGCGAACAGCCCGGTTTGTGAGCACCCTTCCCACCGCAAAAAACCCCTCCTCCGCCGGTTCGTTCGCGTCTGGTACGTAGGGAACACGGACAGCCAGGTCCTCATCCTCAACATCCGCCAAGGTCAGGTTAGCACACTGGTCTACAATCTCCTGAGCAGCCATACGAAAAGATTGGAAAGCAGACGCCAGAAATCCCCGGTCGCTGTCGGCAATTCACGGCCAAAAAGCGCAAAAACCCTAAAAAACTCGCGAAGCAGGCGAGAGAAAATAAAATTCTATTATACGCCTATTAGTATAGTAGATTGTTATTATTAAACATTTTAAAGCAATGACAAATACTTTATTCGCACCTTTATCCTTTTATTATTATTATTATTATTATTATTATTATTATTATTATTATTATTATTATTATTATTATTATTATTATTATTATTATTATTATTATTATTATTATTATTATTATTATTATTTTAAGATTGATTATCTAATATATATGATGAATAGGATGAAGATGTTATGGGATGCTAGATCGTGATTATGTTAACAGTTTTATTTCAAAATGTTACATTTTGTTTTTTTGAAGACAAAATGTTAAATTTTAATATGTAAACAAACTAATTTAAATTTTATGAAGACGTCCTTTTTAGTCCTTTTACATTTATCAACTTATCAAACATCTAATTTTGCCAAACACTTTCAAGCATAACAGCTAGCTTAATAGCCCTTCAATTTTCAGCTTCTAGCTTATAGCTTTTCAGCTTTCAGCTATCTTTTCAGCTAAGTTTGCCGAACATAGCCTACAGCCTGAGGGTCCATATGGTGAGGAAAATTATCTTCACAGAACTTGATAATATCTTTCTCTGTGGAACGGTTCCCTTTTAAGCACAAGCCATCTACCCTAAAACCTCATCAGGCTTCCCAACAACTGCAGCCTCCAAAACCAGGGCTAGGGAGAGATGAATCGGCCAGCCCCTTCGTCTCCAGCGGAGACGAGCTGGAGAATAAGGGTTTTTTTTTTCTAAATTTTAAATAATTAATTTATTTAAAATTATTTAAAAATTATTTTTAAATTAGGTAACTGCCACATCAACATGTTTTCAGGTAAACATGTCATTTTGAATTGAATTGTATGAGTTAGCATTCTTTAGGGACCTAATTGCATTTTTTTGGAGTTCGATGGCCTAATTGCAATTTTGTGTACAGTTGAGTGGTCTATTTGACCCTTATTCCTAATTTTAATATTTCTTATTAGGCTTATCGACAAAAACGATATAGTGTATCAAACTATTTACTTTATATATATGGATCATAAAAGAAAACTATTTCTTTAAATGAAACACCGTCGTTTTGATCTGTTTACAAAATTTTACGTAACGATATCGGTTTTTTTTTTTTTTTTTTTTTTTTTTTTTTTTTTTTTTTTTTTAAACCGACATTGTATTTTGTTTTAATTAAACAAAAATTAAATGACAACACATACGACGTCGATTTTCTCGTAAAACCGATGTTGTTGTTTTTAATTAAAAAAAAAATGCAAAACATACGACATCAGTTTAACAACAAAACTGACGTCGTATGTTATTACAATTTCTTTTAAAAAATTAATTAGGATACGACGTCCATTTTTATTAAAAACCAATGTCGTATTTTTAGCCATTTTTTCCGTCTTCTCTTCTTCATTTCTTCCATAGCCGCAACCCGCCGTTAGCCCTCCGCCGCTTCTATCCAACGTCATTCTCCTCCTCGTCCTCGTCCTTCTTCTTCTTTTTCTCTTCGCCGCAGCCACTGCCACACCACCACTGCCACCAGCGTTCTCATCCTCTCAACGCCACCCCTCCGTTCGTCGTGCCACCTCCTCTCATCGCCACCACCTCATACATTGTCAGTTTTTGTATACTTTTTGAAATTTTGTTTTAAATTTTGAAGTTTTGTGAGTTGAAAATAATTATTTTAATATATTTAGAATTATTTGTTAATATATTTTGAATTTTAGGAATTATTGTGTATATATTTTGAATTTTATGAATTATTGCGTATGTTATGAATTATTGTGTATATATTTTAAATTTTATAAATTATTGTGTATATATTTTGAATTTTTGGAATTATTGTGTATATATGTCGAATTTTTTGAATTATTGTGTATATATTTCGAATTTCAGGTATTATTGACTATATATTTAAAATATTATGAATTATTGTGTATATTTTTCAAATTTTTAGAATTATTTTGTATATATTTTGAATTTTATGAGTTAGTGTGTATGTATCATGAATTTTGTAAATTATTCTGTATATATTTTGAATTTTAAGAATTGTTGTATATATATGATGAACTGTAGGAATTATTGTATTTATATTTTGAATTTTAGGAATTGTTGTGTGTGTGTGTGTGTGTGTATATATATATATATATATATATATATATATATATGTGTGTGTGTGTGTGTGTGTGTGTGTGTGTGTGTGTGTGTGTGTTAAATTTTAGATATTATTGTGTATATAATTTCAATTTTAGGTACTTGTGACACCCCAAAAATTATTCTTATAAACCCAAATTAATTCCTTTAATATTCCCTAAATATGGATTTAATTCTCCTAGTTACCTCTTTAATCTTTTTTATAATTTAGCCTTGAATCTAGTTAGGGGATCTATTTGGATCCAATCCCTTAACCTTCTAATAAGGGTCAATGGGCTGGACCTTTGTTTATTAGTCTTTTGGGCTTTAGCCTTTATTTAAAAGGAAGACGATATTCTTCCTAGCCTTTTTGATGAAAGAGTGATGCCCACACTTGCTATTTCAGAATTTCTAACTTGGAACCCAAACTACTACCTAAACACACTCACCCTAGAATCCCCACACTTGGCCAAAACTCTCTCAACATTTCAGCTTGTTTCTCACACCACTCTCACTCTCCCATCCTACCCAAGAGAGCTCTTCACCTTCTCAACCAAGAAAGCCAAGCAAGACTCTACCTTTCACCATCACCAAGCCTAGGAAGGGTAAGTATTAGGTGTTTATAGTCTTATTTTTTAGTTTTACATCTATTTCATCTAAGACTTCTCCTTTGTTTGTTGGGTTTGGGGTTCTTAATGAAGATCACATTGAAGAGGACTTGCAAGAGTGATCTTGGAAGTTTTGGAAGGTTCACTAAGCTAAGAAGGTAACTCTATGTCCAACAAAACCTATTTTCCTTGCACATTCTTGGAAGTTTTGTGGTGAAATGCATATTCTTGTGATTTTTCTTTTGTAGAGCTTGTATTTAGGGTTCTGTGATGCTATTTATTGAGATATTCCTTCTATTCAAGTCATATTTGTTGTGGATGTGAGTATTGATGAGCTTGGAGTTGGATTTCTCATTCTTGGCAATTTTTCCCCGAAATCAATTTTTGGTACAGAGTACGCACCAGCGGGCACTTCGGGCGGGCATCTAAGTACCCGCCGGAAGCACCCGCCAGTACAGTGTAGAACCAGTAGGGGTTTGGCGGTTGGTTTGGTACTCACCGGAACCACCTGCTGGTACAGTGTAGAGTTTCGTCGAGTACTTTGCCACCCGCCCAAACCACCCACTGGTACGATGTTGTTGGCTTTCGTTTTGTTGTTCCATTATGTACTTGCGTGTATTTATTGATGTCTCGTAAATCTAGAGTGGTGTATTATGAACCCAATGGTTAGGATTTGGAGTCTTGAATCTTGATTAATATCCAATATTGCTATTGGTTGGATTATTAGATGAGGTTGATGATGTTCGTTTGTAACATTGTGATTTCTCTTTGGTTGCGTATTAGCATGTCGTTCCTTGATGCTAGTATGTTTTCCTTACGATAACCTTGGCTTATCTCTTGATTGAATTGGAACTTGAGCATATCTATTCGTTGTGATTTCTTGTTGGAATCCTTTGATATCGTTGTGTTGCATTTGGAATGTCTTCTTCGTATCTCTTTCTTGAATCTCATTTACCTTGAACTATACGTGATTCCGGTGTACTTGATTTAATTTCTTGCCTTTTTATTTCGTTATTTAATTCCACTAAATGACTTAATCAATTGATACGGAAATATCAAATCTAAAATCAAGTAGAACATTACGGTGTAATTTGAATTCAAGATTCACGGTACAATTTCAATTGGTATCAGAGCGCAGAGACTTAAATTACTAGTCTATCGATCTGGCTATCCCATGTTTCTTGAACTCAAGTTTTCATCGACTTTTAGTACTTTTGTTCATTTTATTACTTTGTTCAATCTCACGATGTGTTGAGTGTTTTAGGATGGATCGACTCAAGGTACTTCCCCAGTTAACAGGTAATAACTATGCTTATTGGAAAGCACGCACGCGAACTCACCTGAAAGCTCAAGGAGAACTTGTAACACCCCACTTTTTCTTAATCTAAATCCCGAAACTTAACTTAACAAGAAAAATAAAAGTAAGATTAATAACTTAATTCAATCAAAACCAACCAACGGGTGTTACCGCCACAGTCACTACCCACAGTGACTGGACAAGCTACAAAGGAAATAACTAACTCAAGTCAAACTTCATTAACAACATTAAAACTTAGGGTACAACCCCGGTGTCCAGCACCAACAAAAGATCAAACTAAGTTTCCAACAGTCAAACAACTAACATCAAGTTCAACAATTGTAACTAAACATCACCAGTCTAAAGTAGAATCTATCTAGAATCTACCAACACAAAGTCTACGCACTAAATCTACTCGTACACGCTCAAACATAGGGCCTCCTGAAATGGGTTATACAAAAAAGTAGGAAAATAAACCCGTTAGCAAATTAATGCTAAGTATAAAACCATTCAACCCTGTAAACTACTATAGAATATAGATTTTGAAAATCGTTTGGCAAGCACACATAAGATCAAACACTTTCAACAATTAACAACAATCTCAACAAACTAATTATCAATTCTATATGCTTGCAACCTACACATCATATAATCATTCTTTCTCAAGTACTCAACTAAATCACATAACTCTTGCTTCAACTATAGATAAAGAGATACTAAACAACTCAACAACAGTCTCATGCTTTCATGCTAAACAACAAGCAATCTCAAAGCTATCATACCAACACAACAATTAATGACAAGCTATACATATCAACATACTCTAAATGCAACACATTCAAGTCATGAAATACATGTAACAATAAATGACATGATGCTATAAGTATATAGATATACTCTCTCTAAAAAAGGTATACTTTTTCTGTGGAGGTTTCTGTTGAGTCACACAGACTCGTTTTTCTCTTCTTTCTCTTTGAGTTTCTTGACTCACTTTCTCTTCTTTCTTTCTTACTTGCTTTCTCAAACTTTCACAAACTTTCTCAAACTTCCACATGATTCTCATTTCTCTTCTTGGGCAAGGCAGGTACTCTGCCGCAGCGAAGCTCTAGCGAACGGTGCAATCTCATGCAACCGGAAGATCTTCACGAATCGTGAATGGACCTAACCGGCTCAGCAATCTAGCCGGCTACATAACCAACTCGCCCGCAGAACCACGCCCTGGGTTATTAAATCTTTCTCTATTGAATCAGGTATCGTACTTTAGTGTGCACACCCCCTTACTAGGATTCCAAGCCTATCGAGCAGTCTCCAACCTAGTAACACGGGAATATCGACCTTGTTACTTCTAAAATATCTCTTTCGGTTCACAATGTCCGATTCATTTCTCAAACTTTCTTTCTTTCTCATTTCTCCCGAAAGGACATAGTCCTAATGGTCCTCCAAAATACTATTTTCCTCACAATAGGTAATATATAGATATATCTCATGCAAAAATCTTTCTCATGCCACAAACTCTTCTTATGCAAACTCATGCACAAATATTCTCAATCAACTTCTCTTTTTCACAACTTTGGAAATCAAATATCATGCAACTTCTCAATGCAAATAGATAAATGATTTTCCAAAATAGATATAGATTTTTGAAATAGAACTTAGGCTTACTTATAGCCAATAATGCACTTTAACCATGAAATGCACGAATCATACTCTTTACTGTGATACATACATAATTTCTCATTTACTGTAATCTTATAAAAATATGCACTGTTGATGCAAAATTTCTCAATAAATGCTAACATGTAATTAGGCATGCTTTTCAATCAAGTAACAATGCTCAAAAGCCAAAACCACAATTACTGGAATTTAACTCTCAGACAACAACATCAACAACATTAACAGAGAACTCAATAATCACAAATTCAACTATAAATCATGCTTTATAACTCCAAAATCAACAAAATGAACTTATACTAGTGCATCGTAATGAGCCCGAGTGTCCGAGCCTCAAGGGCCCACGAGTCCCGATCTGAACAACGCGTAGCTGAGCCACAAACGGCCCGGCCTGAACTGGGATTGGCCTGGCGGAGCTTGGTGACGGGGCTTGGGAAGCCCCGCCAAGCCACGGTGCTAGGCAATGGACCATGCCATGGTCCGTTGCCATGATCCGCCTCCCAACGGGGCTGGCCAACGGACCATGCCAAGGTCCGTTGGCTAGCTCCGTTGGGTGATCTGGTGCTCCTACTGTGTGCACCAGTGTAACACCCGTGTTACAGCCGTTAAACTCGGATTAATTATTTAATTAATTCCATTAAAGAATAGTTGAAAATGATTTAATTTAGTCAGAGTCCCTTAATTAATTAGTGTGGTCCACGGATGATCGTGGACCCTTGTCCATATTAAAGCCTTAAAGCCCGTTAGAATAAAGAAGTTGGGCCTAGTATTAATCAGATTCTAATTAGGAGTCCTAGACCTGTATAAAAAGAATTAGAAAGCCTTTAGAACCTTTTCCCTCCATCTTCTTCTCCATCACTCGAAAATCCCCTCCCAGAACTCAGACAAAGAATTCCCTGTCACCAAGCCTAGGAAAGATTGATAGGAAGAAGACCTCGAGGAAAGATCCTAGAAGTCGTAAGAAGTTTAATTAAAGCTACAATATAACCCATGTCTTACAAAACCTATTTTCCTTGATATCTTTTATTGATTGGCTCCTTTGAATGATTATATGCGTGATTTTATGAGTATGCCTTGATAGAGCTTGTCTTAGGGTTTATATTGTGATATCTTGATGCTCTTGATATTCGTAAGTGTTTATATGCATGTTCTTGTGTTTAAACATGTTTAGAGCTTGTCTTTAGGGTTTATATGTTGGTTTCTTGATGTTCTTGAGGTTCTTGATGCTCATGAACCGTTATCTGTTTATGCTTGAGTCTTGGCATGTTTAGAGTTTGAGTTTAGGGTTCGATTGTGTTGTTTCTTGGCTTATTCTATGTGTTCAAGTCCCTATTGTTGTTAATATGTGTTTGGGCGTGTTTGGACTTGATTTTGGGTAAAATTGAGGAATTCCCGGGATGGGAAAGTGGCAAGAAACATATGTTCCAGCGGATAGTCGGTGGGGGGATGAATCCCCACTCAACCAACCACTGGGACAAGGCCGCCGTTCCAGCTGGTGGCCTGCTGGTGGACGACCATCCGTAGGAATACCCGCTGGAACAGGGCAGCCTGCCGGCGGGAGGTTGTCATCCCGTCATACCGCCCGCTGGTACGGGCGGTGGGTTGTGTCGTGGGTCTCCGTTGGTCGTTTCCCCGTGCCCCGTTGTACCCCGTTTGGTGTTTGTGAGTCGAATACGATGTCTTAAGTGCCTTAATGTGAATTTGTGAGTTGTGTCTATGGATGTGGTATAAACTCGTATCGTGTCATGTCATAGTATGGTCCTTAACATTCTTTATGAGTCTTGTGGTCGCCTTGGCGTCACTTGTTGATTGAGAGTCAATATGCATGATGTACCCAACCCTGATTATCCTCTTGTGAAGTCGTTGTCGAGTCTTGTATGGTGTGTCAATGTCCATGTGTGACGAAAAGATATGAGATTGGTGGAAAGTATATGTTGGTGGTTTGATGCACTGCGCGCGCTTGTGTGTGATGGTGTTGCGGTACCAGTGTGTGATTTAATGGCATCGCGGGTGTTGAGAGATTTTGTGATCTTGTTGGCGGTTATGTAGTGGGGAGTATGCAGTGCTCTGGAGGGATAAGGCTGGAGGAGTACAGGGTGGTCTTGAGGTACAGGTTGGAACTGATATACGGTTGGAGAAGCGTAAAGGTTGGAACTTGGTATAAGGTTGGAACATGGACATGTTTGTTGTTGTTGTTTGTTGTTGTTGTTTGTTATTGTTGAGTCTTGTTGTCGTCCTGTCTTGTGGTTATGGTTGCATGCTTGTGTCTTTATGTGCCTTGTTGTGTCAAGTCTGTTGGTGTGTCTTGAGTCTCATCTCTGGTTTTAAAGTTAGAGATGTTTAGGTCAATATTTATGTATTCTCAAGTCTCAAAATGGTTTTCCTATATTTATACTTATTATACTCAACGGGTGGGAGTGGATTACTTCGCATTATTCGCTAACGGTTGCTACACCGCATGTTTTTCATGTACTGATTAGTCGACTCGTGAGCGCGCTAGTCAGAGCTACGGTTCCTAGCTAGATAGTAGTTAGCCTTAGTTAGACGGCCTGTAAGCCATGCTTGTATTGGGATAATGGTTATGATTTATACTTTGTTTAGTTAGTTTTAGCATGTGCATCTAGGTTCCCAAACTTAGATTTGGCATAGCACCCCAACACTTATGTTTAGCTTCTGCCTATTTGGGATATTAATGATAGACTTGCTCTTATTTTGTAAGCTTTAATGGTTTTAAATTATGCTGAAAATCGGGGGTGTTACAACCAGACACCTCCTTCTTCACCTGTAACACAAAAACGGTGCAATCCAACACTTCTAAACCACAATAAATCAATCATAGATCATCTACAACACACAAATAGCTTAACCACAACATCTATCTAGCATTTCTACACATCAAACCACAATCTAACAGTTAACAGAGAACAAAAAGTAGTTTGGGAGTCCATGGTTTATATCTCAACTTCTTCTTCTTCTTCTTCTTCTTCTTCTTCTTCTTCTTCTTCTTTGTGTGGATCTCTCCTTCCTCTCAACTCAGACAACACCTCCTTCACCACCTAAACTTCCCAAACAAACCACACAACCAAACATAAGGGAGAAACTCAGAGATTAAAGGCAAATGATGGTGAGACTAGAAGGAAAAAGAGATGAAAGCTGAGAAATCCTTACTGTGTTGTTTTCCTTCCCTTGGCAGACTTAGAGTGTGGAGAGGCAAAGAAAATATCAGGGAAACAACAATGAAATAATGAGGTTTAAATAGGGTGCTAAACCCTAGGATGATCTTAAATGATTGGTTGAGGGCAAATGTAACAACCCAAAATTTAATTTCATAAATCCAATTTTAAGAAATTGCGAAATAGCCATTTTTCACTCCGTAAAAATTTTTGCGATGAAATCGGTGTTGAAAAAATTATTTTGAGCCACTTTTAAGTAAATTCAATATTGGGAATTATTTTAAATCTAAAATCCTAAATTTTCGGATACTTCGCGTACCAAGTTTAAAACTGAGAAACCAATTTGAGTGAGACTAGGAGAAATCTGAACCAAGTGTTTGTTTGGAAATCTTTTTGAAAAAATACATTTTGACCGCAAGTTATTCAAAAATCATCTTTCTAGACTATGGTTCATGATGCAAGGTGAACCCTACAATTTTATTTTACATTTTACCCCCAAACCCTAAGTATAAGAGATAGCTTTACTTGTGCACCATTCATTTTCAAGAAAATCTACAGCTCTCGTGTCTCTCTCTACATCTCCCTATCATCTTCATCTTCTTCATTTTTGGGAGCTTATTCTTCTTCCCAAGCTTAGGTTTCAAGAATAGGTAAGATATCTGTGTAACACCCCCGATTTTCATGTCATTTTAAACTTAAACATGCAAGATATTCTAACCATAACCATAAGAAAAACACAGCGGAAGTCTAAATATATAAAACTGGAAAACGGAGAGTGTTATGCCACGTCCACACTAAGTGAACGCACAGGCAACAACATCATCAACATCAATCTAAGAAGTCTATAGAAAGAGGCACACATGCCCAAAACATAACTAAAAGAGTCTGGGGGACTAAACTAGCCATCTCTATATCGCGCACGCCACTACTCGGGACCTGAAAAGCACATAATTAAAAGGGACGACGCCCGGTCAGCGAATGATGCTGGTAACCCATCAATACACGTTAAGTATCATACATAGATAGTATATACAAATTCATTTTCGAAACGGAATACTGTATATATATAAGTTCAAAGCCAAAGATAGAAGTCAACCACATGACTCTATATCACTCACAACAAGGATAAGGGGAAATACATCCCAAGACACATCAAGAAGTGACAACGAGGGTACCGATCAAGGTGTATTCTACCATCACTCAGTAGAATATCACCCGACATGATCAACCGAAGAGAATAAAGAGACACACATTGGCAACACATGCCTTCGTGAAATCACTCGTCACGAATAGAGAAACACACATCGGCAACAATGTCTTCGTGACATCACACATCACACATTTCAAATACAATAATCCTTCCTTATGGCCGGTTAAAACCTTATGGTTACCCCCAACCTTATAGCTAGTTCCAACCATTACCTCCAGGACCCCTGTATATCTAAGTCCAACCTTATTCCTCCGAGAACCGTCGTCCCCATCCGCCAACAAACCACCAACAATTTCCACCAATTTCATAGTACATGAGGGTACCGATCACACATATGGCCACCAATTTCCTACCACATAGTTCTAGACATACGAAACATCAAGAAGACACTCAAATAGTTCCACAAAAGAACATCGGGAAGTCAAAACATCAATTACCGGGTCAAAAGAATCACGGGGAACAAATACCCAACAACCCACATATACGTACCCACGGGTGGGGCCACGGGTAGACCCCCACCCGTGGTTCCGCCCGCGGGAACCTTTCCCTTCACCACGCATACCCCGCGGGTGGGGCGGCGGGTGGGCCCCTACCCGCCGTTCCACCCGCAGGTACACAACCCTGTACCAAATAATCCCTTCGGGGATTTTCAACACCAAGCTCAAATTCATGTCCAAAACACCCAAAATCTCACAAAATACAATAAAATGACTTGAATCAAAGGAATAGCCAAGCAATGGCATACAAGAACCCTAATAACAAGCTCTAGATATGCATTTTCACAAGACAATGCATCAACACTCACATTTCATAGAAAAATCACATGTAGAATCTAAGAAATCATCATATAAGTAAATAAAATAGATTTTGTAATGCATGGGTTACCTCTTGTAGCCTAAACCTTAACTTATTACACCTTTTAAGCTCCTAACAAGGCTCACCTTCAACCCCAGCTTCAAGAACACACCAAAAGACCATAAAGATTTCATCTTTAGAAAACGATACCTTAGAAAGCACTAAAAACACTAAAGGACCATAGATCTTACCCTCCTAGATACCCAAGACTAGGAAAGGTGGAATATTGGAGACAAACTTTGAAGATCTTGGAATACCCAAACTTAGCTCGAAGGTAAAGCTAGCTAAATTTCTAGAGAGAAGGAAGAACTTTTGTTTTGAGTGTGTTAGAAGAAGAATGAAAGATGTCTTCTAGGTTAGCTTGGAATAAGATCATAAGGTGAAAAGTCTTCTTCACCCTTACTAAGATGAAAAAGTGTAAGGAGACAATGGAACTATTCTCAAAACTTTAGGTACGACTCCTTGACTTGGGTTTACTAGTCAATTACTAGTCCCCGACTATTGAATTTTCAGGAATTTAAAGAATAAATTACCAATTAGATTAGGATTAATTACTTAATTAATCCATAAATAGAATTTAGATTTGCGAGGTGTCACATCCTCTCCCCCTTAAAAGAAGCTTCGTCCCCGAAGCTTGGGTACGACGAATCAAAGCAAAACGGTAAAAAGAAATAACAATGTGACAAGAGTGTCAAGAATATCCTTTTTGGTCAAAACTTAAAGGATCCAAATGATACCAAAACAAGCAAGAAATCATAGCATTAAATGGTTGATAGAAATAACCAACAGAGTTCTTTGAGAATAACAAACACTAACCAAACACAACCACAAAACTTCCAACCAACACTAAAGGTCCTAAACCGCTAGCTCCTAGCACAAACCATAAAGCTAACTACTCAACAAAACTAGCAAACAAGAATGAACACACAAGGCAAACAACAAGCAAACGATGAAACGAGGTACCTGACGAGAACAACTCTGGATAACGATCCCTCATGGCTGACTCCAACTCCCACGTCGCTTCTTCCACGCCGTGATGTGTCCACCAAACCTTCACCATCTTCACTGACTTCCTATGCGTTTCCCTGGTTTTAAAATCCAGAATCTTGAGCGGCCTCTCTTCGTAGGACATGTCATCGTCTAAGGGGATCACCTCCGGTGATAGAACGTGTGTCGGGTCATGAACATATCTCTTAAGATGCGACACGTGGAAAACATTGTGCACTCGCTCCAACTCCATAGGTAACACCAAACGATAAGCTAAACCCCCAATTCTCTCAAGTATCTCATAAGGACCAACGAACCTGGGCTTAGCTTGCCCTTTCTTCCAAACCTCATAACTCCCTAGGTGGGAGAGACCTTCAACCAAACTTTATCTCCAACCGTGAATTCCACTTGTTTCCTTTCCAAATCGGTGTAAGACTTTTGACGATCCTGTGCTACTTTCATTCTTTCCTGAATCTGTTTAATCTTCTCCACTGTATCGTGCAAGTACTGCAGGCCCAGCACCACTGGATTGACCAAATTTTCCCAACACAATGGACTGCGACACTTCTGACCGTATAGCGCCTCATACGGTGCCATGCGTATACTCGAGTGATAACTTTTGTTATAGGAGAACTCTATTAGATCCAGGTGATCCTCCCATGATCCTTGAAAATCCAGCATACACGCTCTCAACATGTCTTCAATTGTCTAAATGGTCCTTTCTGTTTGCCCGTCTGTGGCCGGATGGAAGGCGGTACTAAGATTCAATTTGGTCCACATGGCTGCTTGCAAGATTTCCAAAACTGAGATAAGAATCTTGGATCCCGATCGGAGACGATATCCCTTGGTACACCATGATACTTCACCACTTGAATAACATAGGCTCGGGCTAACTGAATCATTGTCCAAGTTTCCTTCATCGCAATAAGGCGAGCAGTTTTTGTCAACCGATCAACTACTACCTAAATCTTGTCCTTACCGGTGCGGGTCACCGGTAGACCTCCTACAAAATCCATGGAGGTGGAATCCCACTTTCCTTGTGGAACTTCAAATGGCTGCACTAAACCCTTGACCCTATAACGCTCCGCCTTAACCTTTTGACAATTCAAACATCAACCCACGAACTCCGCTACTTCCTTCTTCATGTTGGGCCACCAAAAGAGATTCTTCAAATCCTTGTATAACTTGTCGCCTCCGGGGTGTACTGAGTAGGGTGTGTTATGACCTTCTTCCAAAATCTGACGCTTCAACCGATCGCACGCTGCAGGTATACACAAACGGCCCTCGTATCTAAACTCTCCGTCCGTAGATAGCTCAACCGGTCCCCCTCTTCCTTTAACCAGGTCATCCCTTGCTTTCATTAAGCTAGCGTCCTTTAGTTGTTATTCCTTAATTTCCTCCAATAGTGTAGGTACGACCCTTAGGTTGAAAAGACGGACTTCTGACTCAACTTCGCCTTGCTCCAGCACTTCTAGATTCATTCTTTGAAGTTCTTTACAAAGCTCGTCAGCCACTACCAAATGGAACTGACGGCATGTTTGGATTTCCTGCTTAGAGCACCCGCCACCACATTTGCTTTCCCCTCATGATACTGAATGTCCAGCTCATAGTCTTTGATAAGTTCCAACCAACGTCTTTGACACATGTTGAGATCCTTTTGCGTGAAAATATACTTGAGGCTCTTGTGGTCCGTGAAGATCTTACAACGCACGTCGTACAAGTAATGCCTCCAAATCTTCAAAGCGAAAACCACGGCTGCCAACTCTAAATCGTGTGTGGGGTAGTTCTCCTCGTGCACTTTAAGTTGTCGTGAGGCATAAGCGATCACCCTCCCATTCTGCATCAACACGCAACCTAGTATTTTCTTGGACGCATCGCTGTACACTTCAAACCCTTCCGTCCCGAATGGCAAGATTAACACCGGTGCGGTCGTGAGCCTCTCTTTTAATTCCCGAAACGCGGACTCACAAGCTTGATTCCATTGGAAAGGCATGTCCTTCCATAGCAAATTAGTCAACGGTTGAGCCACTTTGGCAAAATCCAACACAAACCTTCGGTAGTAACCAGCTAACCCAAGGAAGCTTCTCACTTCCGCCACTGTCGTCGGCACGACCCACTCTTTCACCGCCCAAATTTTATCCGGATCCACCGAGATGCCTTTGTTGTCGATCACATGACCCAAGAATGCCACGCTGTCCTTCCAGAATTCACATTTCGAGAGTTTGGCGTACAACTGCTTTTCCCTTAGAATCTGGAGTATTGTCCGGAGATGCCCTACGTGTTCTTCTTTATCACGAGAGTACACAAGGATGTCGTCGATAAACACGATCACAAAATCATCGAGGTGAGGTTTGAATACCCAATTCATCAGATCCATGAACACTGCGGGGGCATTTTTCAAACCGAACGACATCACCGTGAACTCGTAGTGTCCGTAACGCGTCCTGAATGCGGTCTTAGGAATATCCTTATCTTCCACCTTCAACTGATGATATCCAGATCTTAGGTCAATCTTAGAAAACACCCCGGCACCTCGGAATTGATCAAAAAAGTCGTCGATCCGCGGTAGAGGATACTTGTTCTTGATAGTGACTTGGCTCAGCTCGCGATAGTCGATGCACAGTCTCATGCTCCCATCTTTCTTCTATTCGAAAATCACCGGCGCTCCCCACGGCGATGTACTCGGCCGGATGTAGCCTTTGTCTAACAACTCCTGCAACTGGGTCTTAAACTCCTACATCTCCTTGGGCGCTAACCGATAAGGAGCTTTCGATATAGGCGCCGTACCAGGTACAAGATCCACTGAGAATTCAACTTCTCTCGGTGGAGGCATACCCAGAATCTCCTCGGGAAAGACATCAAGGAACTAGCAAACAATGGGTATGGTCTGAGCCGCATCCCCTTTCGCCTTCAGATTTTCGACGGAGCACAAAAAGATCTCATGACCTTTCTCAACGTACTTTTTCATCTTCAACAACGACACTTTCTTGATTCCAGGTTCCTCTGTTGATCCTCGGTAAGACACTTTCTTCCCGCTTGGCCCTCTCAAAACCACTTTCTGCTCACCACACAAGATTTGGCCTTTGAACTGCCCTAACTAGTCCATGCCCAGGACTACATCTATCCCGTCCAAACCGAACTGGATCAAGTTGCTGGGAAACTCCTCCCCACAGATGTTTATCTTGACGTCTTTGAAGAGACGGTCGCAGGTTTTAACTTCTCCAGATGCCACCTTAACACTTAACTTCACTCCGACGCCTTCGGTTAGGCCTAGCATCCTCACGAGTCTCAGAGATATGAACGAGTTAGACGCTCCGGAATCGAACAAGATTACCGCTGGGATAGCTTTCACAAGAAAAGTCTCGATTACTACATCACTGTCTCCTGCCCGAGCTTCGCTTAGGATGAGGATCTTCTCTTGCGATGACTCTTCCGATGAATTCTGGGTTCCCAACCCACCACTCCTTCTTAGATCACGAGAAGTCGGCAAGGTAGTTGCGCTGGGGCTTATCCTAGTGGACGTGTCACTCCGGATCCACTGCTCGACCACACTAGGAGCGTTACTAACTCCCATCGTTCTAGGTCTGTTAGCGATATCACCCGCGTCTACGAACGTCAAGGTACGCTGACGCGGTGGAGCCATGACCAAGCTTCAAAAACAACAACACTGTTACAAACAAAACACCAAACAAGCAAGCAACTATAAACAACACACACCTCACCGCGCGTCCAAAGAGTCCAAAGTCCTAATCACTTAGATTCTTACGGTCATCTTAGGGTCTCAAACAACACTTAGCCTCTTAAAAGTCTAGACTCTAGCATCCTAGGCTCAAACCTAGGCTATGATAAAACTGTAACACCCCGATTTTCATGCCATTTTAAACTTAAACATGCAAGATATTCTAACCATAAGCATAAGCAAAACACAGCGGAAGTCTAAATATATAAAACTGGAAAACGGAGAGTGTTATGCCACGTCCACACTAAGTGAACGCACAAGCAACAACATCATCAACATCAATCTAAGAAGTCTATCAAAAGAGGCACACAGGCCCAATACATAACTAAAAGAGTCTGGGGGAATAAACTAGTCATCTCTATATCGCGCTCGCCACTACTCGGGACCTGAAAAGCACATAAATAAAAGGGACGATGCCCGGTCAGCGAATGATGCTGGTAACCCATCAATGCACGTTAAGTATCATACATAGATAGTATATACAAAATCATTTTCGAAACGGAATACTGTATATATATAAGTTCAAAGCCAAAGATAGAAGTCAACCACATGACTCTATATCACTCACAACAAGGATAAGGGGAAATACATCCCAAGACACATCAAGAAGTGACAACGAGGGTACCGATCAAGGTGTATTCTACCATCACTCAGTAGAATATCACCCGACATGCTCAACCGAAGAGAATAAAGAGACACACATTGGCAACACATGCCTTCGTGAAATCACTCGTCACGAATAGAGAAACACACATCGGCAACAATGTCTTCGTGACATCACACATCACGAATACAATAATCCTTCCTTATGCCCGGTTCAAACCTTATGGCTACCCCCAACCTTGTAGCTAGTTCCAACCACTACCTCCAGGACCCCTGTACATCCAAGTCCAACCTTATTCCTCCGAGGACCGTCGTCCCCATCCGCCAACAAACCACCAACAATTTCCACCAATTTCATAGTACACGAGGGTACCGATCACACACATGGCCACAGCCACCCAAGAACACGTGAACCTTACACACAGGTCACAAACTCCATAATCACGTCATGGCCACCACGAGGACCACTGCCGTACCTTGGTGACTATTGTCCCATTCCATTATTCGTGCAATCCAGGTACAACCACACACACAACACCATCATAGGAATCAATCAACGGATCACAACGAAGATATGAAACCACACTCAACAAGAAATGATCACAATCCGACCACAACGATGATCAACACAAGTCATCATCCACAATAGGAAAGGACAAACAACACACGTTAGCATTTCAACATCGAACTAGCATGCTTATCAAACGGGTAAACCAAACATAGTTCCGAAGAACACACAAAACTGATCTTGGTTCAACGAATCACAAGGTTGAACACTTAGCACGATTCAAGACACCAAAACCTACATGGAATCCTACCACATAGTTCTAGACATACGAAACATCAAGAAGACACTCAAATAGTTCCACAAAAGAACATCGGGAAGTCAAAACATCAA